TAAAAAGAAAGCTACATTACAAAAACAAACAGACACTTGCCTCCTTTCCTCCGAACCCAGGCCACATAGTGACCACTTGAACTGGACCTGCCCTTGTGTGTGAGTACAGCCGATAGCTCATAGTAGCCACTGTTGTTGGAGCCAGTGTCTGTCAAAAGCAACATGAACCAAGCCGTATAAATTTGTGAATACCAAAAACACATCAAAGAAGTTACACAGTAGTTCACAGGCCTATTGATAAAACATTTTAAAAGACAAATCAATCTGTTCTTTTTACAAAAGTATAGTCATGACATGGACACAAAGGAGGAGGAGGAGGAGAAGAAGAAGAATCAATGATGCAAAATTGGGGTTGCACAGAGCTCTTTGCACCATATAGGTGAGCATATGCAATAATTTCCTTCAGAATATCTTTTGAAATCCAATGACAAATTATGAGATAGGACACCTCCCAAAAAAACTGAAAAGACTTGCTTTTGGTATTTTACTTTTACTACTGAATGCCAAAGTATCATGACTCATATTTCTTTCACTCAACACAAAAAAAAGTACCGGTAATACAGGAAATTTAAATAACTGCACCATTAAAATCTCACTCTGAAGGAGACAGGGAAAGATCTGGGTCAGCAAGAACGTGAACCCATGCCCTCAAGGACCCAGATCCTAACCATTATGCATTACACCGAAAGGAAAGTGGAAGAGAGAACCATCCATTTATAAAGAAAGTGTTGGGGTTTTCTTTTAACTGCTAATGGGAAAGGGCTATCGGTCTGAAATGCAAAATATAATACGTAATCAAAACCATGCACTTACCATCTGGAAAATTGTATGGGGCGGTCTTCACTTCTTTCTTGTCATCCTTCTCAACAGGAGCTTTACCTTTAGTCTGTGATGAAACCGCCAAATTCTTAAATCAGCAGGCAACATACTACAATACATATTCATTATTCTTTTAACTCATTGAGACCACACAATTTATGATCAGATGTGTTCATAGGGCTTTAAAAAAAAACCAAGAGGGCCATAAAGAAATGAAAATGGACCATTTAGTATCAGCAAAACTATGCCTTTTAAGGCTTTTGTATACTAGGCAACTTTTACATTGTGCAGAAGATAAGTTCAAATTTTGTTCTGTGAAAACAATTTCAGTCCGTGTGTTGTGGTTGAGAAGGAAAAAACCCAGAAAAAACAAAACAAACAAAAAAACCTACAACAAAAATGATACATTTTGCTCTTCCTTCCTCTTTCTTTTGCATAAGAAGGATTTTTTTTTTTTAAAAAGAAAGAAAAAACAACCTTGTTTACTTTTAAGTTTATTTTGGTACTTCTACAGAACTGCACATCGTGGTGAAAATAAAGGGGACCAAAGCAGGCAGTCTCAATGAGTTAACTACAGGCAAGTGCAGATTACAAGCCACTCAGGGACTGGAATTTGGTTTCAGTCCGCCAAAACAAGAGAACTGTTGACATGGCATTAACCGCGACCGAAATGCACTTTTCTATTATAAACCCATTGGGGGTGGGTGCACCATGTTGGTTGCTCTGAGACATCAATAACAAGGCAAAGCATCTTCCCTTTTTAGGTCAAGTTTCAAACAAGAACGCCCAGTAGTGATTCCTACAGGGGCCATCCGCTCCGCAGTCCAGCATGATACCATCTGAGCTAATGAAGTGCCTGGTCAATACTGGTGTGATATTGAATACTACCATATGCTGATAAAATACTGAATGTATTACAGTACTTGGCACCATAACTCAAATTTCCTTACATTTGAGAACAATAAAAGTGGTAAACATTAATTTAATTTTATGGCAATCTCTTGTATTACAAACTCTTTGGCCTAACAACCATTGCATCCTATCATCCTTGGCTGCTTGTTTCATCTCTACCCATTGTTTTTCAAAGCTGGTTCTATGTTTATGGAGAGGCTTTATCCTTAAGCCAGGAGAACAGAAGAGCACTGCTAAATTCCACTATCAAGTTTGTTTTATTTGAATACCCTCATCAGCAGCGAATTTTGTTTGAGTCATTCATGTTAAAGTTTTAATTTAGCTTGATATAAAAACAAAGGAAATATATAGAGCAGAATATTCTAGATGTAAACCTCAGTTCAAAGACCCCAAACATCATAAAATTCAGTGTCTTTGAGCTTAGCAAGCTCTATCATACACTTCTTAAATAAAAACTAGTAGAACAATTTCTGATGAATTATTTAGATTAACACATGACCGTCTTCCCTCAAAGTAATCAAGTGTCACAAAGATCTTTGGTTGAAATCACTCCCCCCTCCCCCCCAAAAAAACCCCCAAACAAACAAACTGTTCATAAACTGTACTTTTCAGCAAGAAAGCTAGATAATGGCCACAAATCTAATGCTATAATGGTGCAAATGAAGCAAACTAAACCAGATATTGGGAAAAAAAATAGTAAACTCACAGCTTGGGCTTGTTCCAGTTTCTTATCTTCTACTTCCTTGAACTTTTCACGCATAGGAATCAACTTCTGTTGTAAGCTGTCTGAGCACAAGTCAAATACATCTAGCGACATGGGGAACTTTATATCCTGGAAAGTAATAACAAGCAATAAATGTCATGGTGCATAAAAGTCGAACTTTAACATATCTCTGTTGCAGCACATAGTCATTTAAGGTTACAGCACAGGGCAACAAAAAAATTCCACAATATGCTTCCATTTAACAAGCTGATCCACAGCACACCCCAAATTTTTACATAGTGGAAAAATTATATTTTTTATAAAGTTTTGCCTCAAGACACACACAGCATGGTCACTCTACAAAAGGCACGATCATTGAAACTTGGGGGCTTGGACACTCCAAGAGAGGAAGACTGTTACCATTTTAAATATATCATTGGGCCAAAAAGCACACCCCCAAAGGCTACTGGATTAACAACAATAACCTTGGACATTCTTGTGATTCGGGGAAAAAAACCTACAAAAAAACAAACAACCCCACACATCCCCCATCATTTGCAGGGGAATTAAGATCCAAGGCTTTAAAAACCACTTGTGTCTAACTTGCATTTCCAAATTTTAAGGTTTCCTCTACAGGATACATTCAGACACTGATGCACACAACACAGCTGACCAGCAGGTGGTTGAAATAAATGCTTATGATTTAAAATCTTACAATTCAATCTAGCAAAAATAGTAACTAATGCAAAACCCATAAATTTCAGTATATTGCAAAGCCATTTCTTGCCTTTAGCATAAATGACCCTTTGATAAGGGTGAATAAAATTACTTTTATTTATGTAATTTCAACATATGACCTACATACCGTATTTTAAAAAATGGAGGGGGAAAAAGTGCTTTTCGATCTTACCTTCAAAATTTTTGCATTCGTGGCATTTTTCTCTTTGTAGAAAAACCTTACAAACTGAATGGTGAGGTAACCTGGAAGGCGGTTTATTTTGCTCTGTGGACGATACAATCAATAAACATAAATTCAAAAATAAGCTTTCTCACACTCAATTTTATTTCAAAGACTAGCTTATGCTTTTGTTAATATTATTACCAACCAAAAAAACCTGAAAAAAAAAGTATTCAAAAGAAAGTCAATCCAAATTCAGATGAAAACAGTTTTTATTATCTGAGCGATAAGATCCTTCCAGGTGTTTCTGTCCTGGGCCTTTTTTTTATAGCTCATCCCACATCAGTCTAACTGTCCTTTAAATCAGGCTTTAAGGTGCAGAGCCATGTTTTCCTTACACAGCCTCTTCTCCTCTTTCCATGAGAATTCCAGTTCAAGGCCTGTCTTGTGACATTCCTAAAGCCTTTAAAAAAGCATGAGTTTACCCACTTCTTAAGTTCCTGCCAGTAATCAGTTCATCCACTGCCAGAGATACCTGTTACTGATGGTGTTGGGCTAATGATTCTACGACATCAAGTGCTTATGAAGAATTGCACCTTTCTTATAATAGTTGTTTTGGTTTCCCTTCATTTTGTGGCTCTGAAAACAGGACTGGGTCCACACAGCAGCATGAGTGCTCCAATGGAAAGGTTGTGTTAGCATGAAAATTGGCACATAGTAAAAATGACCAAGTTCTACAAGGATAAAAATACCTCGAAATAAATCATATCTAATATAACTTTTTCAAACTTTGTTTCCTAGACATAAGATAAAAAGCTCACATGTTCAGTCCAGCACAATACTCAAAATACTACATCATTTTTTAAAAATGACACAATATCAATCCACAATTTCGGAGCTAGCATATTGC